TACCCTTATCTATTTAAGGGTAATATACTATATTAAGCTATTATTTTATATTAACTAGCTTATATAAGTATTATTAAAACTTATTTACTTAATTAAAGCCTTTATTACTTATTATTACTACTAGCTACTTATAGAAATAGATATAGTATTATAAAAAGCGCTTTATATAAGCCTCTATATTTATAAATAATATATACTTAAAGATTACTTCCTTACTTAACTTATCTCTTATAACTTAAAGGAAGTAGCTTCTATATATTAAGAGGAGGTCTATAATAAAATCTATTTATATTTAATAATAGAATTACTTTAATATAAATAAAGGCTTAAATAGCCCCTTTTTATATTCCCGCTAAATCTTAATATAGCTATAAGTATTATAGTTATAAAAGAACCTCTTAATATATTACTATAAAAGGGGCTAATAGAACTCCTTTATTATTAAAGCTATAATACCCTCTTTACTTAAGTACTTAATTATAAGCGAGTTATAAGCTTATTAAATAAGCTTCCTTTATAGCTTATTAAGTCCTTCCGCTCCTATAAGAGTAGCTTTCGCCTTAGCCTCTAAAGTAAAGGGGGCTTTAAGTACCTAAAAGCAATCTTAAAAGAGGAAGTACCTCTTAGCGTCTATATTATACTTTATTACTTATACCTTTAGCTTAAGCTTTAAGTTTAATATATAAATATTATTCTTTATTAAGTAGTATATACTTTAATAAGTAATATCTTATTAAGCCTTTTATTCCTATAAGGAGTAAAGCTTAAGGTCTATTAATATATCTCTTAGGCTATTTACTTTTAACTATATCCTTTATATATAAGTATAAAAGGCGCCCTTTAAGAGAAGCTATAAATCTTAAGCCTCTTAGTCTTCTTTTATCTCTTAATTTTAGTCCTTTCTTAATAATATATTAAAGACTATTATTAGCCTCCTTAGCCTATAGATTAAAGAGAAATTAAAATATAAAAGTAGCTTTACTTAATATACTTATCGCTTTAATAGTTATTATTATATTATAAAGTATTTAAAGTTCTTATAGTCTATAAGGATTATAAAGCTTATATAGCTATAGAGCTTTATATCTTATTACTTTAAATAGTAGACTATCGCTAATTTTTCTTTATTATAGATAGGGTAGTTCTACTTTATAAATAAAAGCTTTTATAAGTAAAAGGCAATTAATTTCTTCTCTTTATTAACTTTTTATATAAATATACTATTAAGTATAATATCGCTATAGTTTACTTCTAAGAAAGTAAGTAAGTCTAAGTCTTATTAGCTTAAGATTAGCGCTTAAATAAATAATTACTTAAGTACTTAAAAGGTAGATTAATACTCTTATTTCTATATAAATAAGGCCCCCTTTCTTAAGGATATTAAAGGGGTAGCTATCTTTAAGAAATTAAGTATAAATATTTAATAGTAATTAATAAACCTTAAGAAGCTTTATATCTTTTTTTATATTATTAAGGCAAGCTATTTAATTATTGCCTTTATTTTAGTAAGGTTTACTTTAATATTATACTTTATATAGATAATATACCTAAGATATTTTATAGTCTTAACCTTAAATTTATATTTATTTAAGTTTAAATAAAGGCTATACTCTTAGAGTTACTTTAAGACTTACTATACTTTTATATAATACTCTTTAAGTAACTTATTTATATAGATTAATATATTATCTATATAAATAGAGTAAAAGTTATTAAAGAACTCTTATAGGATATTATTAATATAGCGTTAAAAAGTAATAAGCGCGTTACTTAAACTAAATAGCGTAATTATTTATTTAAAGAGCCTATATTTAATATAGAATGCTATTTTCTACTCTTCTTTAAGCGTAATCTATACCTTATAGAATACTTATATTATATCTAGCTTAATAAATTAGCGAGCCTTTATTAAGTTATAAAGGGTATTATTAATAAGTAGGATTAAATAGCGATTTGCCTTTATAATTATATTAAGGGCTTTATAGTTATAATAAAAATAAAGCTTACCTCTTAGTTTCTATATAAATAAGACTAGTGTTATTACTTTTAAGCTATTTACTTAAATAAACCCTTTATTTAAGAGGTTATTAAGCGTTTTTATAGTATTAAGAGCTCCTCTTATAATATTTTATATAATACTCTATATAGTATAAATAAGTCTTATCTATTAGGCTCTTTCTTAAAGGGGATTTAGTAATTAATACTAAGCTTATATAAGTTAAGCTTATTTATTTCTTACTTTATAAAGAGCGGAAGTAAGTTATAGAAATATAAGGGGATTATATATAAGAGCTCTTATCTAGACTTAAGTCGCTTTAAGGATAGGGCTCTTTTAATATCTTTTAGGCTAATAGCGAAAATTATAGCCTTAATTACATTATAGCCCTCTTTCTTATAAATTCTCTTTATATAGCCTATAAAAGTTATAGCGATAATATATTATATACTTTTAATATCCCCTATAAGGCTATTTTTTAAGTATAGGCTATATATATATTATACTTATATCTATAAAGGGCTATATTAAAGCTTCCCTTTATATAAGATAGAGTATAACTTTATATATTAAAGCTAGGGTTTCTTTAAGATTAAAGGGAACTTAAGCTTAAATATTATATAAGTATATATTAATTAAAGGGTTTTATTAATCTCTATAATTAACTATATTAAACCCTTAATTACTACTCTTATTATAATACTAAAAACCCCCTTTACTTTATAAGGGTAGATCCTTTCTAGTAGTAATTTAAGGTCTTAAGTAACCTTCTTATTTATTATTATATAATATTAATACCCCTTATTTATAAATATAGTCTATAAGAGACCTTTATTAATTAAGACTAAGACTAATGATAAGTCTATCTTAAAATACTCTTATAGCCTCTCTTTTTATATTAATACCTCTTATAGCCTTAAAGCGCGACTTTACTTTAAGGTAATATATTTCCTTAAGTAAACTCTATACTCTTAGTTTTACTCTCTATATTATAGTTATCTTTAAGTTTTAGTTTAAACCTTATATAATTTATCGAGATTACTTTATTCTTCTCTAGCTAGTAAGTAAAGGTATAAAGATAGTCGCGAATTAAGTATTTACTCCTTTTATAATATAAATAATGCCTTTATTTATATTATTTATTCCTTTTCTCGTTAGATACTTACTTAACTTATTTACTTATATTTAAGAAGGTACTCCTTTAAGTCTTTATTTTCTTAAGCTTAAGGCTATAACTTATAGTATAAATAAAGGTTATAAAGGTATCTTTTTATAGTCTATAATTAATATTACTTATAGGGCCTTTCTTTCGCCCTTAAGCCTTACTTTCTCTACCTTATAGAAAGTAGCCTATTAATTAGCTAAGTATTAATATTATTTTTTCTTAAGTTCTTTAAATTAATTAATTACTTTAAAGTTAGCTATAATAATATATAGCTATTAAATAAGGCTATAAAAGTTAGGTTTTAATATAACTATAATAAGTTACTCTTTAAATATAAAAAAGAAGGAGTTTTATAGCTAGGTATACTTTATAATATTATCCTAAAAGGAGCTACTTATAGTTATAAAGGTACTCTTAAAGTCTAAGATAAAGTCTTTAAACCTCTACTTATCTTTTTATATAAAGGTCTATAGCTTATCTTATACTTTTTCCTTCTTTTATATATTCTTAAAGATTTACTTAAGGTATAAAAAGAAGTCCTTAAAGTCTCTCTTATTATTAATCCCCCCTTCTCTTTAAAATACCTTTATATTTTATATCTTAAGCTCTAAGAGGGTATATAAGACCTTAAACTAGATTATAACGTCTAGCCTATTTAAGTCTTCCGCTCTATTAGTTATATATTTAAACTATAGCTACTTTAAGTATAGGTAAAAAGAGTTTACTTAGCTATCTTACTTTAGCTATATAAATAGCTTCCTCTTCTTTAATTCCGCTTTATTTATTATAGCTAGTATAGCGGCTAGAGTTAGGGTCGTAATCCCTTTAGTTATAGCTATAGCTAGACCCTTTAGGGTCCTTAATAAAGCCTCTTTTATATAATCATTAAGTATAATTATATTAAGCGTATTAAAGAGATATATCTACTCTATACTTAAAGTAGCGGATTATTACCTTATTATTACTTATTAAGCTATTCCCGCTTATTAAGCTATAGGCGCTAGCTAGGGGGCTAGTCTATTTAATATAAACCTATTTATTATTCCTTTATATTATTCTATTAATTAATAGTATATATTATAATAGGGCTAGCTTTAGTAAGTAAGAGCTAGTTAGCTTATTAATATTAAATATACTATAAGGAGGTAAAATAGGGTTATATAGGCCGGCCGCCTTTATGCCTATAGTGCCCCTTTTTCCTGCGTAGCGCCCCTTTCTACCTTATAGTGCTACGTAACTTAATAAGCAGCCCGGGCTAGGCCCGGGCTCGGATCTTAGGGGCTAACCCTTAATAATATTATTTATTATAAGATATATATTTACTTATTAATAAATAAGTTAATAACGTTATAGCTTTATAGCTTATTTTTAATAAAAATCTAGGTAATTCTCGTCTAGCTCTATTAAAAGCTTTATTTTAATAAAGCGCTTAAATAAGCTATACTTAATTAATATTATTGCGGCTTATTAATAGCTAATCTTAGTCTTTACCTTATTATTATTATTATTAATATATAAGTTATCCTTATTATTATATAGCTAGAGGATCGATATAGCTATAAGAAGGTAAGCTACTAAATATATAAATATATTAATATAATATTGCCTTTAAGTAGCCTATTAGTTATAACTAAAATATAGCCGGATTATAATATAGATATATATAAGAGACTTAATAAGATATAGGACTAGATTATTATAATTATTATTAATATATTATAATTAATATTATATTATAGTTAATATAATAACGTAACTAAACTAAAAAGGGGAATTTATCCTAACTAATTACTAATCTAGAATCAGACCGTAACTAGCTAATTAGATTTATAGAAGTTTTCAAGCACTAAAGAACCTCTCGGAACTACGTTCCTTAAGGCATAGCGGTTTAGGGGCGGGATTAATAGGAAGGGAAGGCGGTCCGGCCGGGATCGCGATTGTGCACGACAGGACGGAAGTTATGGAGGTGACTACTTGCGAGATGCCCGAGGATGATTCTGACATGTCAATGATGACACTTGAGGGGAGAGACCCAGGTCGAGTGCGTAAGAAAGGAGCGGATATGTCATTACTTTGGGTTCCATACGTTCATTTTGGAGTCTGAGTTAGCTTTTTAACACAGTCAGAGAGCTGCTGACCTTGCCAAAACTTTTCGTAACCCGTGCTCTAGAGAGGGATAGTGGCTTCCGTACAGGCATCGTTGTATACCAACCAGCTTATCGCAGCCAGTAGCAGCAAGGGTTTTAAGAAACACAAGAACAGGTAAAGAAAGACGAACAAGCAAAAGGAAAAGGAACAGAAAAGCCCCGATAGGTGCGAGCCACGTCATCATCCCAAATGCCCGGACGACATAGCTTGTTGTGTCACCGCCCGGCAGTAAGTCCAGGTCGCCTCAAGTAGTGTCCTGGATTCGTCATCTAGAGATGCGAGATGTTGTCCATGTGTTCATGTCGTATGCAGACTAGGTGCCTTTTCAGAGGGTTGGATAGTCCAAAAGACTGCTGGACATCGTGGACTACCGAGTAATCCACATCATGCACGCGCTCACCTGTGGCTCTGTTCCGCACAGTCGCCCCTAGCGCTGGAAACGTTAAACTCGTCCGGTATTTGCAAAATAGTTTAAACCTGAAATCTGGCACTAGACGATCGAGGTAATCCGTCAGAGAGTTGGCCGCGTTTGCTGCTTGCAGTTCCCCTACATCAAACGCCGGCAGCGAAAACACGTGCTGGTAAAAGTTTAGCAACTGCCACCGCTCCCACTCTTCTGTCCCGTGAAAGCCGTATTCTATTTCGGATGGGATAGATAGATGGGACTCATTTTCGAAGAACGCATAACCTCTGGGGTATTTGCGGCGGTGGAAGCATGAACAGAACCTGCCAGACAGGGCGTGCTTGACCTCGGCGACCAGTCGATAAGCACTAACATCTCGGGGCACTGGAAGTCCAGGTCGTATGCCTTGGTCCAGCAAGTTTGCAATGTCAATATTCTGACTTCTGAAAAGGTCTATAGTATGCTCTTGGCAGCCGAGATGTTCAGCAATGTGGCCAAGAGGCAGCTGTCGTGCCGATAGCTGCAAGTATGCAGATCGTAGCTGCTGGCATTGGGCATGTGTACTGCAGTAGCAGAACCCAAAAAGGAGCCACTCTTGATCAAAGGGGGTCGGAATGTTGTTAAATGGCTGTAGGAGCCTGGAGTACAATCGTAGAACCCTATTCTCCTTCGGGGGCAGGTCTTGCCACTCAGTCGGGATTGGAGCGAGTCGGAACAACGCCTTGACGAATTGGAGAGCGAACAATTGATGTCGATATCTCCCATAGATAGATGGCTGAGAGAGACGGTTTGTCGTGTACTCATTCAAATACCATGAGAATGCCTCGTTTGTAGGAAGGTTCTTGTCTCGAGTCGAACGTGATAGGAAGAAAGACTCGCGCAACTGCCGATGCAGGCAGTTTTCGTCAATCCACCGCTGCAGATCCCGCGGCTTGTGTAACCCTAAAGTGTGCTGCAAAATGAAGAGCAGATAACGTGTTTCGCCGGCCGAAACACACTGATTGAACCCAAAGGTGTAGCAGAGATCGTCGTCAGCAAACAGACGCTCCATGAGCTCAGGCTCATCAGCAACGGGATCTCTGCCAACGTATCGCTTGAGAAACCACCGCAGGTTGTCCACTTTATTTGGACGATCTTTTACCCTGCAAACGAAAACATGCGTCTTCCAGTCTCTCCTTTGGCATGCTTGGGAGCAATATAGCATACGGCAGGCGCAGCAGCGGAAGAGAGCGGGTCCGCTGTCGCAGAAGCGGCAAATGTTTGCCCTGGAAGATTCTAATGGGGGCATTTCATCCAATTTCTCAAGCCCATGCTTCTGTCTTATGAAATTCAACCGAAGTTTCTCTGCGCCGCCCAAATTCATGACTTTGGATGATGTCCACTGTCCACTGGAGACAGTAACAAGTCCTGGTTTCCGCGGAATCGGTGCGATCAAGAAATCGTCGTCGACGGCGGTCTCTAAGAACATCATCATACGTCTATCATAGAGAGTCAGACGTGGTATTTGTCAGAGTGTAAGCGCACATACTTTGTCTTTGTGTGCGCCCGCTCCATCTTGGCCAACCGCCCCCATTCAAGTGACGCCTCAGAAGGCAAGCCGAAGGAAGACTGTGCCAGAGCCTTCTTCGGGCTCACTCGCCCAAGAAGTGCTGTTTTCAATACATCTCGGAGTGTTTGCAACAGCTTCGAGCGCCATTTTCGAACTTTCCTCTCAGTGCAGCGCTGGGGAAGTGTTGCTGAAGTTCCCAACGGTGCATTAGCGAGTAGTGGGTGCCTCGGACTCTCATTTCGGGATATGTGACTTCGACGAAGGCCTTGCAGAGGAAGCAGCAGCGTCTGCTGCAGCCAATATACGGATGCACGGTGTAGGTTTTATCCTGGCTCGGAAATAGCACTTCGAGGTGGTAAAGTGCCTGAATTTCAGCGTGAGTATGTCGATCATTCTCATTCTGCTGGTACAGCTTTGGCAAACTCTGTTCCAAGTCTCTGGTGACCTTAGGTGAGATCTTTCTCTTGTCGACGACAAGAGTTGCCAATGTCTTCGAAGTAGCGTCAGCTGGATCCAGTCGACCTCGTCTTCGGCATTGTATGGCGAGAAACGGTGCGGAAACGTAACAAACCGAACGACCACACACAAACTTCCGAGCTGCTTCCATAAACACCTCTACGGCGTAGTAGATACGGGCCAAATACAGCAGAGAGTCGTGGAACAGTTTCTGTTGTGAGGATCCGCCCGTAAATTGGCGTTTGGTCCATGATCTCAGAGCCACCTGACCGTGTTCCGACCTCCAAAGACGTAGCGCGCTCCTCATGAGATTCTCGAGCTCAGGACGCCATTCAATCTCGGGGCACGTGTCGCTGGATAATTTCCGCGCGGAGCATAAGATCCGATCTATTTGAAGGCCCAGATTGCCAGAATCGGACCACGTCGGTGTCACCATCGACTGCACTTGACCAGCCGTAGGGTTGAGGGCAAAGCAGTACCTGTGGCCATGATTGTCGATCCAAGTCGGAGTATGTGCCACAGGTAACTCTCCAGCTCCGCGCACAAATTCCTCAAGCAGCGGAATCGGGATGCTTGGAGAACCTAATGGCTGTGGGGTGGCTGAACCCATAACGTTATCAGGTTGGATTGACCTCATCGCTTGATCTAGCGAGCTGATGTAGTGTAGAATACGCGGTTTCTGCTGGGCGATGACCAAGTTGAACATATCCTGGAAGAAAGTGCCAGCTCCTGAATCGTCTTTGAACCTAGTTAAATCCCGATATAACATTCCTTGAAATTACTTCAAACTCACCTGACCGCGCGATCTTTTCCATTAGATCTTTCCAGCCACGCAAGAACTGCTCCCTGTCTTGCTCATCTAGGCCCTCATTCTTGGCGCAAAGAAAGGTCACCGTATTGTGCTCAGCGCTCTCTATCAAGATAACACTGGAGACATGCTTCGCGTCCTGGTTTGCCGGCGACGGAGGTGACTTGAACCTCGCCAAAGTTTCGGAGAGACGGTCCACCAACTCGTCTTTCAATTTACTCAGCTGCGCATCTTCGCTACTGGGCAAGTAACACTCGCCCAAACCATCAACATCAAGGTCTATGGTGTCGTCGTAATAATAGTCTTCTGTCGTCGAACCGCGTGGGACAACGTGTTGCGTCCGCGTCGTGTCATCGGGCAGGTACGTCTCTGGCACAACTTGAATGAGTGCAGCCAATACGCAGATGGTGTCCGCTAGCTCTTGGTACAGTGTTGCGTCACCAGTGAAGGAGGAGACGGCCCGGTAAACATCCTTCTTTTCGGCCATAGTTGGATATGCTGTGATGGTTCATGCGGTAATTGGTGTGTTGAATGTGGAACACACGGCCCCTCTGCGTTCAGATCGTGGATCGCACAACGGTCTGAAAGATGCTCCAGAGATTTACACCAAAATTAATCATCTATACAGTGCCTGGGCCGCAGTCGATTGTTCCGCCGTGGGCAGACGGCGACTTTTAAAATACTCAAAAAAAAAAAAGCAACTACCCAACCACTTTCGCACCCACTCAGCTCGCCCCTTCGAAGTTGATGAGGATGGGCACGCATCCTGCGGCTGTTGCGTGACGTGGTCAGACAGTCACCCCCCCGTGGGGCCGGTGACCCACACCGGTCAGCCAGCCAGGCGCTGCGACCGAAACGATACGATACGATACGATAATTATTTAACGTCCGGGAGCTACTGTATAGTGATAGCTGAAAGCCCTTATTGGGGCAAAGGACGTGCTAGGCTGCTGATTCTAATGTACAAAGATGCTGCTGGATTAAGATGTATGGCGGCTGGTTTCTTGCCGGTTGTCTAGGTTAGCAGCCAAAACTGGCGTGCTGCCTGAGGCGCCAGAGGCCGATTCCCCGCCGCCCCATAATCTCCGACGAGTCCTTATTTTAAAATAAATATCATCTAGTATCTTACCGGCTTAAAGGCGCTCTTTCGTCGGAGCCTCGTACCCGTCAGCGGGTTGTAGAGGTGCAAGCGACTTTCTGTCGCGGTCTATACTCATCTTTCTAATAAGCCTAGGAAGGCTTTTCCTTACCTACTGCGTCTCGCAGCTAAAGCGGAGGGCCTCGGCCGAGTAAGGGGCGTAGTAGCACCCTTCGCTCGATCGCGACTAGAATTGGAGAAACACAAAATAAAACAAAAAGAAGGAGGGAGAGAGTGTATGTTCGCCTAATGGCGCGGGTAGATCCTTTAGAAGAAGGAGCTCTCCGACGTTATCTCGACGAAGGCTTTAAAGCCCTTGACTACTATATGGTGTATCGCTTCGGCCGGTGAGGGTGCAAGCCTCATCCGGAGCCGTGGCGGTACTTTCCTGCAGTAGAATGGGTGCTCTGGTGCTTTGCGTCGTCCGCATGAGCAGTCAAGACGTGCGTCCTCATGATTGAAACGCTCGTGGTATGTTAATATCGCGAGGCTTCACCACGCAGCTGCTGTAGGGTTCGCCACGATTCGTCGCCATACCTGAGACTAAATGCAGTCTTCCAATTGTATAAGGTGCAATTTCATACAGGTCCCGATCAACTAAATGCTTCCATAGCGGAAGCACACTTCGAGCGGGCATTGTCATCCATCCAAAGTATGTTGGCCTCCTACCCTCAGTTCGTGGGGCTCCCCTTCAGTCATGAGTCAACTGCCAACCACACGCTGCCCAGTCCGTTGATTATCTACCGAAGCTCTTACACGACGTAAATTAAGAACTTGCGGGCTGTGCTCGTAGTGCTGACCTTGCTTATACTGCAATAACACGGCAATCATACGCATATTCATGTTCATTCCTGTCTAGCCATGGACATCCAAAGAGTTCCTCGATGTTCAGTACAGTTGTGGCGGCTGGATCGATGTGCGGCAGGGTCCCGACCGCCGACGCCTCTTCTCACTGTGGTTCAAGCGACGAGCCTCGCTCGCAACTTTTTGGTGGATCTTGCTAGATTCGTCCTGAGCTAGTTTGCGCTTATATTTTGCCACCTCACGGAGTTGCTGAGAAGCGAAGACGCGCGTTGGGGCTGGTGGGGTCTTGGAAGATAGAGCCTCGCTCCGGCTGGTACCAGATTTTTGCTCAGCGTGGTGCAGCCAGACGCGATACGGCAGCGCCTTGAGACGGAACTTCTATCCGCCTGGAATTGCTAATAAATATCCGACATTAATTTAGCACCGGATTACACAGCACCGTTATCTAGATATAGTGTCGGTCGTAGGTGATGAGAGGCTGCCCTTCTCGGTCGCTAAACCCCGAGCCTGGCACCCGTAACTAGGGCCCCTTACAATTAGTTTCTAGAATAAAATGCAGTATGGCCGAGCAAGACAATTTATTTTGTTTCCCTGAATTTGTACTCTATGGTTCACTTCGGTACAGTACTCGATAGCAGGCTCCGATCGTATGCGGTGTGGACAGGAGAGTCGCTCGTGATGGTGAGGTGCGCTAGTTGCACGAGTGTGCTGAGAGCTTTGGTCTGACGGTCAGTCTGGGGAGCGTGTTGGAATTCGAGCTTCGGAATCAGTGACTGAATCGCCACAGCAGAACAAGTCAGGTAAAGAGCATGAAACATTTTTAGAACCAGTACACGTGCTGAATTTGCGTTGTTTGATCACCGTCGAAGTGCATCCATTTTCACGCATGGGCACTTGGGTCACGTACCCTACACTGTCTGGGCTTCATTGAAACTCACCCGCCCCCACCTTCCTTTGTCATCATACTTTCTTGGCATGCAATTGTTAAGAAAGTAGCGTATTTTACACCAATTTGACTAACAACTGCACCACCAACTTTGCGAGCCGCGCGCTGCGCTGGCTCTGGCAGCGGCCATGGCAACTGCCATGGGCTCGCATGCCGGCTCAGATCCCTTTGATCTGGATAATCACATT